TGTTCTGCCACTTGCTGTCGCGGCGGTGCCAGATGCGGGTCCTCTGACTGCATGGTGCGAGGCATGCCGTTGCTGTCGATGACTGGGTGAGGCGGATGTAGGCGATGCAGGCGGCCTCGTCCCCGATCAGGTGGACGTGGGGGTTGAGCAGGATGGTGTGGATCGGCTGTTTCCCCTTAGACAGAGCTGCAGAGGACGAGACATGCAAGGATGGTGAGGAAACTGAGGAGACTGAAAAAGAGTTGGAAACCTTACTGTGATGGCTCCTAACTCAGCATCTACAGTCAGCAGGGGCTCACACAACAGTGAGTGAGGGGCACAGGCGTCTCATTCTTTACAAAAGAAAATCTCAGGGATCCTATCAAGATTGTCTGTTTATGTTTTTAATGTTACAACAGGCTCATAATCTGAAATACATCAACATCAGTATCAGCCTGGAGAATCCACTGTGGGCACAACAACAAACAGAACTGTCAGCTCACCATACCAAGTGTAGTTGTGTTATTCAGTCCTGTGCAACAAGGATTATCATCCATCATCCATCTCAGGTGCACTCACTGTCTCACTATAATTAATAATATTTGAAAAAGCTCACCGACAATTGTCCTTATTCTCATTATATACAGTGTTTTCATCAGTTAGTGCTCATCAAACAAGCTGACTAGTGTAGATAACAAATGATGTCACAGTTCATAATCTACACATTTAATCTAATGATCATAGAAGAGATGTTCAACAGATTCACCCATGATCAGAAAACCTGCACTGTAAATTGAAAAGGCTTTGTCTTTCAGATGAATCTGAACTTCACCCCTGCATCAGACCTGATCCTGATCAGTGTCAGAGCAGCAACACTACACAACTGTTACCTCTGCTGCTTTGTTGTTTTCAGTCCCAGTTGAATTCTTGTTGTTGTGCGTTTCATTTCATTATTTTAATAATAATAAATAATAATAATTAAATAATAATAATAATAGTGGATTTTTTGATGTTCAATTTACACAATAATTCCATAAATACAACACGACCAG